TCTTTATATATAGTATTTTTATTTTTCCTTTTCACTATATGGAAGGGTATTATCAGTTTGGTAATATTTAACTGTATAGGCGAGAAGTCATGATAAGCTAGGTAGTCTCATATAGTAATACTGATGAAGAAGAGATAAACTAGTCTGAACTCTAGATTGAATTAAAACTACGTTATAGCAGGTCATGAATAGGTACCTTTGGGATAACTGGTCGAGTCTTACTATTGATATTTGCACTTTGATATGCACTGCCTTCTTTGGTTGTTAAGTTAAGCATTTGTAACCCTTGTAGTTTTTAATTATATTGAATAAATGATAAGGCATGGCTTGCTGAAAAGGAAAAAAAAAAAAATTTTATTTAATATTTGTAAAAAGATTAAACAACTAATTATTAATAAAAATTATACAAATTTAAATCATCAACTAAATATTTTATTATAAAACAATAATAAAAGAATAAAAAATTTATAAAAAAATTTTATAAATATAAAAAATACAAATATAAAAAAATTATTCGTTATAAACTAAATTGTTATACTTAGTATTTAACTTATAGTACTTATCTCTATATTCTTCTAACTCATTATGAAGATTCTTAACATTTTCATATAACAATAGATTAGATTTCCAACCTTTAATTAATAAATTTAACTTTTTAATATCAGTTTTATTTTGATTATTCAAATTATGTGATTTTGTTTTTTCTATAATCTTATTTAAATTTGATTTAGGTTTAACTTTAGCTTTAGTTTCATTAATTTTTTTATGAACTTGAATCAAAGAGCTTTGAAGATTGTTATTCAATTTGATTATAGAGTCAATATCATCAATAATATTAGATATTTTTTCTATTATCTTATAATAAATAATAAAATAGTTAGTAACTGATATTTTAAAATAATAAATTAAAAAAAAACAAAATAAAAAATCATAAGTCTATAGCAAAAAAGAAGCTAGCAAGAAAAAAACTAGTTCAGAACTAATTGAGAACTAAGTTGAATGATAGAGGTTGATAAGATTTTAAAGAGAGACTTGATAACATATCATTGAAGTAGTTAGAGTTAGAGCTAAAGACTTATTTAGAATTATTTCTAATCATATTTTAAAAGTTTTTTAAATATAAAAAAAGAAAATATTAACCTTTATAAAAAAGTTTTTATTATTGAAAGAAAAAAAAAAATTATCTTTTTTGGTATTTATAATTTTTATGCATGTAAACAAATTTGTTTTTTATACAGACAATAACAATGATAAACAAAATAAATTTGTGATAAGAAAATCTTATTTAGGATTATTACATATATGATTAAAAAAATTTATTTATGAAATAATAATATAATTAATATCACATGATAAAATAATATTGAAAAAAAATAATACAAATAAAAAATATCTAATATTTAATAAAAATAATTATTATAATTTTCTAAATATATATTCTGAATTGTTTTTGTTTTTTCTATCAAACTCTTAATATATTTCTTCTTCTGCTGATATAGTTATATTTAGTTAGAAATAGAATCGATCAAGGAGAAACAATTATACCTCTTTAATAACATATCTATTATGATCTTTTAATATCTCAAATTTCTAAAAAATACAAAGACTATAATTTAGAGGTTTCTTAGATTATAAATCTTAAATTAAAACAAACACAACAACTACAAACTTCAATTTCTGTTCTTGTATTTATAGATGATATATTATAGATAGTATCATCAAAAAATAAACTTAAACAAATTTTTATACTAGCTTCATCATTTTTCATAATAGCTAACATACAAGTTAATCTACTTAAATCTATCTTTAGTACTAATTCAAAAAACCTAACATCTATTAACTTTATATAACAAACAATTACTCTATAATCTAAAAATACTCTTTTTAAATTTTTAGGATGCTAGTTTTTGCCAAACTACCAACAGACCTAACAAACTAATCTAATTATTCAGGAATTAAACAACCTTACCAATATACTCAAAACTAAACAAATAACTGATAAACAAGTAGCTTATATTATAAATACTATAATAATTCCAACTCTTAAATACTGAATTCATAATATTGTTTTGTCAAAAACAACTTGTGAAAGGATACTCTCTACATATATAATTATAGTCAAGCACAAATCAAACCTCTCTCAAAGTATTCCAAATAGTATTATCCTCAACTATAATATCTATAAAATTAAAAATATTTAGAATATACAGCTCCAATATTATATCTCAAAATTTTTGCTTCGACTTAACAATCCTAATCTCTTAAGAACAACTACAAAAATTTGTATTTAATAACTACAAAACAATTTGTAGTCTACAACAAATATTCTTTAATACTCTAATCTAACTATTGATAGAAAAAACAAGCACTCTATTAACTTTAAAATTATTCAGCTATTTCAATATCTAAATATGCAAATAAATACACACTCTAGTATAATATAGCCAAACACTATTATAAATAATGTATATTCTCTTGAACTATTGCTTAACCAACATGATGCCTATAACATTTTCAAAAAACAACTCAAAACAAAAAATATACTCTATTTAGACTAACTTACTACTATGAATAATAACTCTCTTCTGGAATAAAAACACTTAGTAAAGAGCTATAGTAGAAACTAAGTTTGTATGAATATTGAACAAGAGTATATACAAGCTAAATTAGGATATAGTATAATATAATTAAGTTTTACAATATCTATCAGTTAGAGAGTTAATAATAAAATACCTTAAGATAGAGCCTAGACTTTGAATCATAAAGTTTGTAAACTAATGTCAACTTAGATATCTTTCTAAAAAAATAATATAAGGTTAGACTAAATTTGATAAAAATAAATAGAATATGAGCAAATATTATAAAGCTAAAAAGTTTAAATAAAGAATTTTCAAATAGATTTCTGGTATAGCACTAGTGTAGAACCTTTGAGTGAATTACTTAAAATAGACAATCTAAAGTTGTATGTATAGCTAGTTGTATATACACAATATATCATTTCTCACTATAAATAAAAATTTTAGCTAATAATATTTGTATAAAATAAAATAAAATAAAAAAATTTAGAATAACAATATCACAATAACTAAATATTTAAAATTTCAAAAAATTTTTTTTTTATTTTAATTCTATGGATTTATAGAATTAAAGAAAAAAAATAATAAGTGATTATCGAGAAAAATTTATGCAACTATCAACAGAAATTATACCATTTTTTTCTAAATTTTGAATAAAGATATCTTGATATCTACTCATTCAAAATCGATGGAATTTTTTTTTTTTTTAATTTATGAATTCATAGAATTTAAATAAAAAAAAAAATTCTATCAATTTTGAATAAATAGTTATTGAGATATCTTCGCTCAAAGATTGAGATAATTTGGATAGCAATTATTAAAAAGTAGAGTTTTTTTAAACTTTGAACGAAGATATCTCAATAACCACCCGTTAAAATTCGATAAAGCTTTTATTTATTTTAATTATATGAATTCATAAAATTAAAAAAAAAAAAATTCATCGATTTAAGTAAATGATTATTGATTATAGAAATATCCTTGCTCAAAGATTGAGAAAATTTTAGGCGACTATCAAAACAGAAGTTACGACAGTGGCAGAGTTTTTTTTTTAAACTTTGAACGAAGATATCTTGATAACCACTCATTCAAAAGCAATAAAAATTTTTTTTTTCTTTAATTCTATGAATTCATAGAATTTAAATAAAAAAATTTCAACGATTTTGAATAATTAATTATCGAGATATCTTCGCTCAAAGATTGAGAAAATTTAGGTAGCGACTATTAAAACAGTTATAGCGAAATTTTTTCTAAACTTTGAAAGATATCTCAATAACCATCTATTCAAAATCGATAATTTTTTTTTCTTATAATTTTATGAATTCATAAAAATTAATAAAAAATTCATCGATTTTGAATGGATGGTATTGAGATATCTTCGTTTGAATCTTTGAACAAAGACATCTCGATAACTACTCATTCATAATCGATGAATTTTTTTATTTTATTTAAATTCTATGAATTCATAGAATTAAATAAAAAAAAATTCATCGATTTTTAATGGGTGTTTATTGAGATATCATCGTTCAAAGTTTAGAAAAAAACTCTACGGTAACTTTGTTTTGATAGTCGCTACCTATCATTCAAAATCGATGAAAATTTTTTTAATTTAAATTCTATGAATTCATAGAATTAAAATAAAATAAAAAAAAAATCATCAATTTTGAATGAGTGACTATCGAGATATCTTCGTTCAAAGTTCAGAATAAACTGTCATAATTTCTGTTTTGATACTCGCCTAAATTTTTCTCAATCTTTGAGAAGATATCTCGATAACTGCTTATTCAAAATCAACAAATTTTTTTTCTTTTAATTTTTAGAGATCGTTGATGTCGTCAAATCATAATGTAGTCGTTCGAGTAGAATCTACAGTCACCTTTTTTCTCAGATATTTTTAATTAAATTTATGATAATATCACAAAACTGATGTGATAAACTGGTTCCGACCTCCGGTCCGTAAGAAAATAGTTTCTAGATAATTCACATGAGAATTAGTAGATTTTGTTCGGATTTATTAAGATGTTATAATCAAAATTTTTATTATATAATATTTATTAAGAGATGTAGTTTAATATAAACCATCATAATTATATTTGCAAATGACATCAGTTTCATTTTTATTTATTTTTTTATAGGATTGTATAAACGTTATATACGTAATCCGTTTTAACCCGGATGTCCCAGGTGATAAATTTGAATCTCTAACTCGAACAAAGAAAATCTTCTAAGGCATTTCGATCATCTGCTGTTTCGATCACAACTTGATCTAACTTAGCTATCACGTCATCATCAGATTGATATGTTATCGACTGTATAGGATGTTCTATCAAATTATAAATAACCGAACTTTTTAGTAATTATATGTTGAAGCAACAAAATATACTATTAGAAATAAAGGTTCGTACCATTAAACATAGAAGAATCTATCGCACGATTTCGATAATTTTCCATTTGCGCTTCGAAATTGGCTTGGTAAAGCTGTACTCTCTGAACCTGATGATTGGTCAAGAACTCATCATAATGTTGTCGATAAAGAACTCTTTTTTCTTCCAGCTCTTTACTAAATAGAAGAATTTGGTCAAATCAAAAACATTATAATAAATAGGCTGTTTGAAATTAAACCTTCGTTAAACGTTATTTTTTTTTTCAAATTTACATAAGGGGGGGATTTAACAAATATAAACATATAATGTACCGAAAAATCCCGATGACCATGTTCGTATTTTAAGTTGGTGGATTGAACATTAAATTAATCAATTTGCTACTTCTATTTTTAATTTGAGGGTGAGAACTCAAGAGATGGAAGGTGAAATAACGTTAAACGAAGAATTAATTTTCAACTGCTATACAGTATATACAACTTGAAAAACATACTTTTTTTCATCGACGTGCTGATTAAACAAGAGGCGTTGTTGTTGCTTCCATTCCTCAAATTCTAGCTCTTCGTTACTTTTTGCAAGCTCATCAATCATTTTCTCCAACTCTGTTAACTTTCCTTTTAAAGAAACTTATCAATGTAGAAAACAAACGTATAAGCCTTAAATTTATTACGTAAAAATAATAGAGCCAAATAAATAATCTATCAATTTACAACCTGCAGTGACTGCCATCTCTTCTATAATTTCCTTTACTTTAGGTAATTGATTTGATTCTGATTTTACTGATTCGCATACTTCATAATGATTTTCACATGTATTGAGCATTCGTTGAATTAATTCATCTACTATCTTAAGGTGATATTATTACCCTTAGGTTATGATCAATAAAATGATGAAAATGTATAAGAGCTATTTACTGCTGCATTTCGAAAGTTTTTTTCGTCTTCCATTCGAATGATATTCCATTCACATTCGTATCTATGAAAATAAATGTTTTCTTATCGAGTTTTTTTTTTTTTTAAAAGTTATTAACAAAAATTAATAATATATGCAAATGGGTACCTAGTTGCGAGTTCCGTTGTAGCAGGTATATCTATCTTAGGCACAGCACGAAACTTACTAGAGCTAAAATAATAAAAAGTTATACAATAGGGGTTACAGAAATAACTTTATCAAGAAGTGAGCGCAAATACCTTGAAGTAGAGACTGTTGCTGGTGATAACATTTCGACGGACTTAGATCGAATGCTCTCCCATTCGCTTTTCACAGCCTGCAGTCTGAAATCAAAATATGAAAAGTTAGTTTTCAAGTATTAACCCGTAATGTTAAAATTTGCAAAAATGTTTACCCTTCTCTGGGGAGCCTACCAAGGTCATAAGTATGTTTATTATTAATAGGATAGTATGCAACACAAATTGAAAATATCAAACGTACCCCGTGTTATCTAATAAATCTTTAAAGTTCAGAACTGAAGAAAATCGTTTGAATTGTTCGAACATTTTAGAATTGTGAAGAGGGAAGATGATCTTTTGTAACTAACCATGATCGAAGATAATTTTTGTAAAATCTGCGATTGGCCAGAATTATACTTTCTAACCGAACCCGAACCGGATCGACAAGAACCGGCAAATTCTAGGGCTTTACCAACTACAAGTCACTCTCGTTATAGTGAACCCTCGATATAGATATATAATACCTCTCTATAGTCACCTCCTCTATAGTCGCATTTTCTTATAATCATATAAATTTTAAAACCAACTTATACTGATAGTATTTCGTTAAAGAAAATGAAGAGAAAAACATTTTATTAGTCTGCTGTATTAAAAAAAAGAAAAAAACTCTTACAAAACAATAATATTAATTATTTAAAAAGACAAAAAGAAAGAACCGACTCTACTAACTCTCAGTGTCATCGGAACTTGGGGGCTCCTCCACTTCTGGAGTTATTAGCAAGTATAATTATAATTTTATATACTACATTTAACCTCTATATAGGCACAAACTTTCTATAACGATAAGCACCAAATTCTTAAAACTAATGGTGTGATTATAGAGAGGTTTGACTGTATTCTCTTGATATAAGGATTTTTTTCTCAGCCCGATTATTTTATTATAACACAAGAGAGATTTGAACTGTGGTACAGGAGGGTGGTCGGTTGGGCCGGAATTAATGAGGAACTTAATGGGCATAATTAGTACATAATATAAAGCTAGCCAGCTAACCATGACTCCGATGTCTTCCGATCCAGTTGGAGACCCCAAATTCCGGTCGGAAGCCATCAGAATCCTGGTCGGTTGTGCCGGCATTAACTAATTTTGCCTAGCCGAACATTATCTTGGAGACAGCCCTGTATGATTCGTAAAAATGGACAGTCGAATAATATTAACGGTAATTCTAAATTCTAAAATGTAGAGTTGTTAAAGAAATCAAGTTCAACCTTACTATAAAATTAAGTGGATTATAAATTATTTTATCGAGTACTGTGAATTAAGTCATTTTAACGCATCAAACATTGCCCAATTAGATTTATTAATCTAATTGATAAGTTTTTACATCTATAAGGAACTACTGCCGCACTAATATCACGAATATCATATGTTTTTTGCCATATAACGATTCTTTTCATCCCAATTTTGTTATTTGCTAAATCTTGAAACCTTTTGAAATTTTGTGAATGAAGTTAGATTAAAAATAATTTAGATTTTTTTTTTAGGTATCTTTATAATTTAACTACTGTATCATTATGATAATAGATTACATATTTATCAAAATATTGAATTTAGAACATGCGTAAGTTACTTTTAAATTTATCGATTATTAAAATTTATTATCATTATAGTATCAAATTTAGAATCAGCTTAAATTGCTTTTATCATATATTTCGTATCATATTGACTTTTGGTCAACTTTAAATGAATTCTAAATTTATTTGTTGTTATATATAGTTAATTAAATTTTAACTTATCAATCAAATGATATCTGATATAACAAAAAATCAAATACAACCACTGAAACTTTTTAATTTTGCGGATTTTTGATCTAAACTTTCCCAGGCGTAGATATTACAGTCGCAGCATAAGTATTAACAGATAACATTATCTGTATGTTTTAGAACATTTTCGAATTCTACACACATGTTTCAGACGTTATAAATTCGAAAATGTCCAAAAATAACGAAATTAGTTATGTATATTGAAGTTGGAAAATTAGATGCTGTGAATACGTATTCAAGTGACCAGTTTTTTTTTTTTTTTAGTATTTCGACCTTATGCTTTTATCGTTATGCAATTAACAATTTTGGTTTAATACGTATCGATTTTAACAAAATTAGAAATTTTTATTAACCTATCGCTATCACAAAAATATTATTTTTTATTTTTTTGTTCAAAAAAAAAAAAAAAAAAAAAATATCGATATAAGTTACCATAAATAACTTGTTATAAAAAGGCACATGACTACAGATTCTTCATGTAACATCGCGGAATATAAGATGTCCAATGAAGATCTTATCCGTATAGAGAACGCATGGAGATAAAAGACCGACCACACTTTACCGTATTACCGTAATTAGTGAATATAGTAATAATCCGAGATATAAAAGGATCAAAAAAACGTAGGTATTTTTTTTTAATCTTGAAAAGTTGTGGCTTGTCAAACATTCAAATACTCAACAATTTATCACCGTCGCTTGTTATAGATTTTTAAGATCTTTAAAGGGTGTGCTTTAACTATTACAACAAAATATGGTTGCAGCCATGGGTGTAATATTGAAAGAACTTGCTTCACAAACAGAAAAAGCGAAACAAACTTACGAAGAGATATCAAAAAATATATATAGGGGCAAAGGTGTTGGGGACGTTGGACATGGTGAAGATTATAGGTGTATTTGTAAATTTAAGCCAGGTAGCATATAACTCTTATTGCTTAACTTATAAAGTCTCGGTTGATAATAAAATTCAATTGAAATATAATTAAATTGAATATATTTTTTTTTTAATCTCTGGGATATATATATATATATATATCGAAATATCTAATTTAATTTGATAACTTTATTAATTGAATAGGTAAGGATAACCCGAACAAAGCTTGCGGCGAATACACTGGTTGTGTGAATCGAGAACTTTTTATAGAATGCGTTGATGGTGAATGTCCTTGTGGATCATATTGTCAGAATAGACGGTAAGAATTTATTATAACTTTATTACATTTAAAAATGTTTATTTGCAATGAATTAGATACTATTATAGTTATTAGTTTGGATGTTCTTTAAAGATGTGATCCGATCATAATCCAACATGGAGAGCTTTTTAAGACACTGAGAAAAAAAGGTTTATTAATTGTGATCATGAAAACATTTCGTAAAATTGTAATTAAGCGATAAGGATTTCGTTTATTGAAAGAAATTTAATTATTGTATTATTTAAATTAAAATTATTACAAATATAAGAAATAACGTTAATGTCGAATGCTTTATTTTGTCTTTTTATCAAAATTATTATACAGATTTCAGGATGCCAAATATGCAGATGTAGATGTTATATTTCTTCCACTAAAAGGATATGGACTAAGAGTATTGCAACCATTAAAAAAGTATGTCAAGTTTATTATAATTATCTTTTTTTATATTGATCTTTTATTATGTTCTTAAATATTCTTAAATGCGTTTATGTTCATCAGGAATCAATTTGTAATGGAATATCTTGGTGAAGTTATTAAGAATGACGTATTCATGAAACGTATGAAGAAGTATAATGAAGAAGGGTTAAAGCATTTCTATTTCATGTCACTTCAGGCTGGAGAGGTAAACTGCCTGAAATATTTGCTTACGATTCTAAACAAGTTATTAATGGTTTTCTTATTGTTATATAGGTTATTGATGCGACTGATAAAGGTTGTGTGGCTCGATTTATGAATCATTCATGCGCTCCAAACTGTTATGTACAAAAGTGGATGGTTGGTGAAAAATATCGAATTGGAATATTTGCTCTCCGTAATGTCCAAGAAGGTGAAGAATTGACCTTTGATTATAATGCAGAACGATATGGGTATGTATTTAATTAAGTTTCATTTAAAATTACTTTATTATTTATTATAATATACCATATAAATTGGTCTCATAGATCTGAAGCTCAGGCTTGTCATTGTGGAGAACCAAACTGCCGTGGTATTATTGGTGGGACTAAAGAAACTGGTGATTCTATTTTATCCCAAGATTTAATCGAAGCTGAACAATTAAAACCAATACAAAGCTGTGATGACGTATTGCCTTTCATTAGTCTCATGCTTCGTTCAATTGAAAAACCCGCGATGGTACCAGGGCTGTTATACAGGTTACGGGTAAATTCATTCACAAATGTTAATTTTTGTTCATTTATTAATTTAATAAAATATTAATATTGATGCCTCGTTCTATTCTTTATAGATTACAAATGACATTAGTATTCTAAAAATGTTTATGAAATTACATGGCTCTATAATGCTCAAAACATATTTACGTGAATACAAGGACAATGATGATATTGTCGAAAAGGTTTGATACAGTGTTTAATGATTAATCTTTAGTAACAATCTGAAACTAACTTTGCGTCACAATATTCTTTTAAAGACTCTCATAGTCGCTGATAAATTACCATACAAATATAATAACCGTCGTGTTGAATCATCACACCTTAAAGAATGGGTGTCGAAATTCACAAGTCGAAATGATAGAATTGGAGAACTTTGCCAATCAGTATGTTAATGTATTTTTTATCATAAAATTTATTTATTCTTTTTTTATTGAATTTATTATTATTGCTTACAGCTTATAGAGAAATGGCAAAACCTTCCGGAATTCTACAAAATTCCTAAGTATAGTGAACGAGGTCTTTTACCCCCAGAAGCTCAGAAAAAAGAAGTAGAGGAGATGGCTATGGTAAATTTCCATAAATTATATATATTTATTACTCATCAGATAATAATATTTAGTTTTTAAATTAATATACGTAGGATATTGACACACCAAAGAATTCAGAAACTTCTGAATCTAAAGAAGATCACCCAATGACAGATCATCCAATGACAGATCATCAAATGACATCCGATGAATACTATTTCTACGAGTCAGCACATGACTTTTATGTTCGATTTACGGATAGTCATTTTCCATTTCAACATCTTTCTCAAAGGGATTATTGGGCCTCTCAAAAGCTTTCTCCTCACAAACAACCCAACTCATCACAATCCGAATATACTCATTGTTCTTCGTCCTATTTAAATGATCATCACAATACTGAATCTAGTTCTTCTAGTTCCTCACGGTATAGTAAATATGATAAATATTCAAATAAACATTGGCATAATAGGACATATGGTTCATCACAATCACCAGCAGTTCCTCCACAACCCGAATTGCCACCTCTTGCACCTAATTGGTGTGAAACTACTGATGAATATGGTCATGTGTATTATTATAACAAGTATACTAAAGAGACTTCATGGGAAAGACCCGTTGTAAAAGATGATATGAAAACTATTGATGGATTTAGTAAAGCTGAACTTCAAGGAATTATCGAACGTGCGGAGGCTTTGGCAAAAAAAGCGGAGAAAGAAAAAGAAAGGGCTGCTAGGGAACGTGTAGAAACCAATAAAATAGGTGTAACAACAACTTTAAGTCACAACCTTAGTGAACGAGATTTCAGAAATGCTGTAAGACTTTATTTTTTAATATGCACCCGAATTATTTAATTTTTTAAGTAATATTAATTTTAAATATTTCAATTATAGATTGCAGCTGCTGTGGTAGATTATTGTAGTCGGTTTAAACGTCATATGGATGTTCAGACATTTAAAAAGCAAGCCAGAACTGTGAGTGTTATTATTATTAAATTATATTAATCGAGAAATAACTAACATTTATTCTTTGGATATACAGTTATCTCACCTTGTACAAGATAAGGAACTTCGCCGTTCAGAATGGCGTAACGTGGTGACATACCGGTTTACTGACGAGGCTAAAGCTCGGATCAAGAGTTTTGTTATTGACTATATGAGGAAATTGGTTTCACGAATAAAATCATCTGCTGAAAAGCACAAAAAGTAAAAACTCTTTGCTATGAAAATCTTTATTTAGCTTGGAGTCGAAAATTTAAAATTAATATGTATTTAGTTATGTACGGTGCAGAAAGTCTAATCCAAATAATATAGATAAGTGTTGAAATTTTGCCGATTATTATAAAATTGAATTGATTGGTTATTAATAATGTTGGTTAATTTTTTTTTAATAATGATTAAAAAAAAAAAAAAAAAAAAAAGTTTTAAATAAAATAAATAGTTAATAGCTTTTGTATTTATTTTATTTTTTTAAAAAAAATTAACTAATCAAGTTTAGAATTTTAAATTCAGGGTTAGCAGGTTTGTATTATTAGTAAATTAGTATTTGGTATATAAAAATGTATACAATTTTTATATGATAAAATTGATTTGTAAAAACAAAATATATGAATTAAGTATATTTAACTTTTTATATAAGTGTAAATTATTTGTAAATTATATATTTAAATAAATTTGTAGATTTTTATTTTATAAAATATTTTTTTTTTAAAATTTTAAACTGTTTTGATTTATTTTTATCAAATTTAAATATTTTAAATTTTTTTTTTTTTTTAGATTAAAGTTATTATTTGTTATATTTTGTTATTTTTAATTTTTAATTATTAAAAAAAAAAAAAATTAAATTGTTTATAAGTTAAAAAAAAATATTAATTTATAAAATTTTTTTTTTTATTTAAATAATTTTGTTTTTTATTTATTAAAAACATTTTTATATTTGATAATATAAATATTGTAAAATATTATATCTTAATATAATACTTACTATTTTTTTATTATAATTCTAAACTAGCTTAGTTGTCTATATAATATTTAAACTTAATCTGTTACAAAGATATTTTATCTTCTATTAATACTATTTTATATAGTAGAAGAAAATACTAATAATTAAAAAAAAGCAATTTCTAGTTTATATTAAGATTTTAGATTTTTTTTAATCTAATTTATATTAAACTAAAAGTTATTAATATTTAGTTCTAAAATAATAAAAAATAAAAAATTATTACAAATAATAAAAAGTAAAAAAGTTATATACTTATAGTATTAATAATATATATATTTTCTTTTTTTTTTTTTTGTTATTAAGGCGGCTTACATTGCTGAAGGAATTTTATTAGAATTGCATATAGGATATATATTGATAATCTCTACTGTTTTGTGATTATATGAAGAGTGTACTACAAGCCACATGTACAACTTTAGTCATTGTCTAATTTAAGTAGTCTGCTACACAGGTGATTAGACCACTCGATTAGTTCTACACTATGCTGCCATACCTGTAACTCGCCTGTAAGCTACCTATTTAAATATTCTGTTCATTAACCCATACAGATCCAACCTAATGTCATCACAACATATAACTGCTTAAGCTAGCTAACTCGTTATGGATCCATTTATCCTGAACGGCTTAGGTCCTCTCAGGATATATTATACCTAACATATTGTAGGTATCACAGAGCCAGTTAACCTCGAAGCATACTTACTAGAGTAGTTTGTATCTATTTTATGGATTCACCTAGCTTAGACCCTTGTAGATGTTCATACAACACCAGTTCCTACTGTGGCTCTCCACCAGTTTTCTGTATTCTATAATCTCAAATGTTTCATGAGGCAGATCCTCCTAATCTAGTTAGCTGTTAAGCTAGATTAGTGTTACTGATCCTCCCTGTGGAACAGATTTATGCGTATCTGACTCGATCTGCATCTTTTGACGATAGTTTCTTTTCTGGATCAAGCGTTAGCTGATGTGATCGTTAAAAGCCGTACTACTTCACCAACTCAGAATTTCTACTATGCAGGTCCCCTGCCTGTAGATCTTATCAAGATTTATTCGTGTAATGTTATGTCTCGCCAAATGCCTCGTCACACTTCCAATATCCAAATGATATTAGTGTAACATGATTTACAGGGTTACAACCCTAGAAACGAACAGAGTTTACCATAAGTTAGGTACAAAGGTCTAGGTAATTATTCAAATTCGTCGACAGTAGGATTTGAACTCCAAACTTCTTGCATAGCAGTCTGGCAACCTAACCACTACACTAAGATCGCTAGACCTATATATATATTTTCTTTATAAATTATTTTAACCAAAATTATAGCTAAAAAAAAACAATAAAAACTCTAAATTTTGTATAAAAAATAGTAGTAAAATTACTAAGAAAAAAATAAGAAGACAAAGAAATATATATATTAAATTAAAAAAATAAGAAAATTAAAAAATAATTGTTAGAATAATAGAAGATATTAGATTAAAAAGTTATTTTTTTTTTTTTTTTTAAACTTAGGCGATCTTGCCTATCACTTTATTAAGGAAAGCTTAGCAAAAAGCTATATGATAACCTAC